TCTTCTGCTCTTCTGTCAGTTTGCTGAGAATGATGGTTTCCAGGTTCATCCATGTCCCTACAAAAGACACAAACTCATCATTTTTGATGGCTGCATAATATTCCATGGTGTATATGTGCCACATTTTCCCTGTCCATTCTATCATCAATAGGTATTTGGGTTGGTTTCAGGTCTTTGCTATTGGACCCTCACAGATGCTCTATCAGTGGAACATCTATTAGCACCAGGCATTTTGAGTGCATAAAATGAAACAAATGTATGATACACAATTCACTATTGCATAAAGTGTCAAAACAGAGGTTCATACTTATATGTCATCTAGGAACACCTTAAAATACGTTCAGGATGTTAATTAGAGATGCTAAACAGACAAGTCATATATTTTATTTAATTTTGTAGAAAACACTAGTATATGTAGCATCAGGAAAGATATCGGAAAAGCTAAAAATTAAATTGAATAAGAGAAAAATATATTTATAAAATTAAAAATGACTGCCAAACAATGCATTTCAATAGCATGTTTGTAAATCAAAACCCATCACATAAATATGAGTTCTACAAAGGGTAATCCCATGAACTAAGACAAACAAAAACAGTTTTCATAACTGACTGGTGAAACACACTTCTAAAAAATGTTGAGCAATTTTGATAAATACATTTTTTATGAAATAAAACTGAATAATTAACAAATGACACCTTTCTGATAAATTTAATTTTTAAAGGCATAAATTAATAATTATTTAAAAAATTTCCCAATGAGTATTTTTGATTTAATTTATTCTGCCAAAATAAATAATGATTTTTCAATACTAAATCTCATAATTTACATGGAAAGAAATTTATATACTTTATATAGAAATAAATTTATTTGATATAGAAAGTAAATTATAAGATCTTCTCTGACAGATATTAGGAACTATCTGTCCAAACTAAATCAAACCTGTATTATTATATGAATCTAGACTTTTGTCAGCAATTGCCATTTTAACACATTGTGTGTTGCTGTAATAGAATCTCAAAAGCTAGTAATTTATAAAGAAAAGAGGTTCATTTGGTTCATGGTCTGCAGACTGGGATGTCGATATAAAAGCATGATGTGGGCATCTGCTTGGCTCCTAGTGAGGGACATGTGCTGGGTCAAAATATGTTAAAGAAGGTCAAAGGGAAAGCAGACATGTGCAGAAGTCAAAACCTGAAGGGCACCCTGGCTTCATTACAACCTTCTATATGAATCAGTCCATTTCCCTGAGAACTGAGCCCATGTAACCAGAATGAGAACTCCTGGTTCCTTACTGCAAAAGGGCACCAAGCCATTCAAGAGAGATCTGCCCTTATAATTCAAACACCTCTCATTGGCCTCACCTCTAAACACTGCTGCACTGGGGATCAAATTTCAATATGAGTGTAGGGAAGACCAACTCACACTGTATCCAAACTATTCCAATTGCTTATCACAGAATGCATGTGATTTAGTGGTACTCTGCTGTACTAAGAATGTAAGAGTGTGTGTGTGTGCGTGTGTGTGTGTGTGTGTATGTGTGTGTGTGTTTGTATGGGGTCTTTGTCACTAGGCTCGAGTGCAGTGGTGCAATCATAGCTCAATGGAGCATTGAACTCCTGGGCTAATGGGATCCTCTCAGCCTCTTGAGTAGCAGGTACTATATATAAATGCCATCACGAATGTGTATTATTCAATATTTAACAGCTAAAAATATAAGTAGGCTTTCCCTAGTAATTTTTAAATGTGTAAATTAAAGCAAAGCAGCTTATTTGATTAGTTTTAAGCTAAATACAAATCTGGCATTGTTGAAAGAAATAAAGAATTTACCAGTAGTGCTTTCACCCAAAAGAACTGATACTTGGGATATTTTATTATTTAGAGTAAAAGTTAACACCTAGAAATAGAATTCATAAGAGCTATGTGATTGTATTTGGCCAAGAAAATAGTTCAGAAATGGATGTTTACATTCATGTGAAGAAAAATACCAAGAAAGTCAACTGAAGCATGGTCATTAGGGGACTGGAGTTGCAAAGGGCAAAATATGTGAACCAGGTAAAAGTAAGATGCTTTGAGGAAGGAAGTGAAGCACGCATCAGGAAGAAGATATGAGACCAATTATTTCTGATAAAACGTAGTAGAATAGAGCAAATGGTACATTTCAGGGAAAGTGAATCAGTCCTCAGAAGTGCACCTGTTTTGTTAAAGTAGTTGTATGTGTCTTGGTTATGCCTTAACATGCCACTTCGCACAATATCCCCTTATTACTTTGCTGTAGGACTCAATGAGAACTTATCATCTCCTTGCTATATACATATGAATTATATGTCACATATGCATCATCTTAGGAGAGAACCATGGCTAGAAAAGTCTAAGGCTTATTTAGACAACTCTGTAGTTTGACCAGAGAGACCTATCACTAGGAGGTAAAAATATATTTTCAAATACTACACATTTAATTATGAATAAGTTAATTTAAAATTTCTTAGTAAGGGAATTTGATTCGTTTTCTAATGGGGTAATAGTAGATTTTTATTTGTTTTAGTTTGTTTGCAGTCCTTGGAAAGCAGGATTTTTGGTAAGCAGAAAATTTGTGCTTCTAAGACAGAAATGAGACCTGCTTGTTTTGGAGTCCAGGATGCATAAATAACAATAAAACATTTGGCTTTTTGTAAACCTGTATGCTTTTATAAATACACCAGATAGTATTTTATTCAGATCTTCAAAGGCGAGGATTTTAGTATCTATATTATATGTTTAGTTCCTGATAATGAAGTTGAAATCAGTTGAGATCAGTTTTTGCAAGAGGCACAAAAAATGACTGGATTTTGGTCAAATGGGAACAATATCACCAATGCTATCATGAAGTGTATTAGTTTTATGTGCCAGGTATTGAGATACACTAAATATTAAGACAATAGACAAACAGTGCTTGGGTTCTTAAAATAGATTTTCCCTGAGTATAGAGTGCAAAAAGTTGTTTTTCTTTAATAATGTAAGGAAAAGAATATCAAGTTAAACTACCAGATATAAAATATAAACCTCCATGGAACTAACAAATTTCCAATATTTTTAGGTTGAGCAAGCACATTTATTTCCAAATTTAAGGTAACTCAATCATATCACAACAAGTATAAGGAAGGAGAATATCAAAGAATTCCTGGACATATTTTGATTTCTTTGAATTTAAATATAAACTAAGTAGTCAGAGATATGGTAAAAGTAAGTACATTCAGTTGCAAATGCTGATCCATGTTCTTGTTGTAGGTTATCTATTGTCTTAGTAGGCCTAAAATCCAAAATGTCATAGGTCATAAAAATCAGATTCCTATATCTTTGAAATCTAGTAAATTAGTGTGAATCTAAAGGAATATGCATAAATATTATAATTTTTATGGTTTCTTAAATATTCCATTTTCCACTTACCTCTTTAACGTTTCCAAAATCAACATTGTGTTCCTTAATGTCTTATAAACTCTAATTTGTTAACAGATGATCCCTGACAAAGATAATACATAAATAAAATTTTAGAGTGAAGGGATAGTTGGCACTGACAGTAATAAAATGAGAAGCCTGCTGGTCAATAAACCCTATAACATTCCATTTCTTTTTATTACAAAATAGGACTGTAATTCCACAGCAATGCTGAAATCCAAAATGAAGAAGTAACAGAAGGTCGTTTCCAGAAATTTTTCTAGAACCTAAATCTCAAACTTGAAGAAGTGGTAAACTTTCCCCAGATAAATATGAAGTTTACTGGAAGCACTATTATGTAGGAAGCCATGTTTCTCCTATAGACGAACCTGTGTACCATGCTCTTGGTTACAAACAACAGCACACAATTTCTTCTCTCAAAGTCTTGTAGTCTATGGGGCAACCCTGTAGTGAACCATCCTGTTGACTCAGGTAAGAAGGTTAATTAATGCTCTGACTTTCATGTGCATAGTCAGGAATGCATTAGTTTAAGGGATCATATATAGCTACGCCTGTACTAGAAAAAAAAATTACTTTTGACAGTTTTCTTTTGAGAACCTCAGAGAAACCAAGCAAATGCCAGCATTGAGCTTCCTGTATAGTCTGTGGAACCATGAGCCAATTAAACCTCTTTCCTTTAAAAAATTGCCCAGTCTCAGGTATTTCTTTTTAGCAATGTGAGAACAGATTAATACAGACATTTTATTGATTTAGAGTGCTGTGTTTTCTAGTTTGCAACTTGTATGAATAAATAAAGATTATTTGGGCCCATATATATAGTGAACTTAACCAGATACAACTCTTGTCATTGAATGTTTAACTGCACAAGAGTGGTAACAATAGAAACTAAACTAGACTAGAGTCATATATGTATACAGATATTAAACATATTCAAAATCTTGTTTTATATCCTTGTAAAATAGCCAAGAAGGAAGTTGGTGATAATGGAACTGAATACTGGACAGATTATCACTACAGTGATTTAGGTTCAAACCAATAAAAGGACCCAGTTTTTATGGTAGCAGGTGGAATCCTGGCCACAATAACAGGACTGACATCCATAAGTTAGAGCTGATCTAAGATATTATACCTATAAATATCATCAATTTTGGCTAGGTCTGACTCACCTAAATATCAAGATATATATATGCCACTAGACTTTACTATATTATTTTTTGAAAAGATATAGCAAACACTAGCTATGGCTAATGAGAACCTCAGTGGTAGAGATCGAGGCGAATCATAAAACCAAAGAAAGAAACAAGATGACATGCAAAGGTTTGTATCTCTTTTTATGTAAAGATACACAAATAGACCAGCAAGGTGGCACAAGCCTGTAAACCCAGCACTTTGGGAGACCAAGGCAGGAGGATCACTTGAGGTCAGGAGCTTGAGACCAGCCTGCCCAGCCTGGTGAAACCCGCCTTTACTAAAAACACAAAAATTAGCTGGGCGAGATTGAATGCACCTGTAATCTCAGCTACTCGGGAGGCTGAGGCAGGAGAATCCTTTGAACCTGAAAGCAAAGTTTGCTGTAAGCCGAGATAGCGCTGCTGTTTTCCAGCCTGGGCTACAAAATGAGACTCCATCTAAAAAAAAAAAAAAGAGAGAGAGAGAGACTTGAATACCTTAACTCCCATTTGGTTTATGTTCTCTGCAAATGAGCTTTGCTCCAAAGAGTGCCTTTGTGAACTTCTGCTAAGTACACTAATCTTTAGGATGGCAGCAGAGTTTTTTAGTAGAACTTAGAAGTCAGAAGAAGTTTTATCAGCATAGCTTTTGCCAAACACGAAGTTCCTGGCCTGCTGATTTGAAAATTTATCTATATTTGATAAGTTATCATTTCATGGCACTTGCAATCTGTATTTAAAATTGTCATATATTTTCTGTTCTTGGGCTTTGTTTGTTTAGATATACTAAGCTATGTCTCCTCTTAAATCTTCTTTCAGGTATAAACACAGTCTATTTGTAGGCACATGAAAATAATTCAGTAACTGACAATTCATAAACAGGGGACCAAGTCATATCTCTCACTCTAGATGCTGGTTTTTCTTAAGTGGAATAGAATTTTGATCACTCATGAAAAAGTTATGTGTTGTTTGATCCATCTGATTCAATTATCTCTTAATTAGTAATCACATTTAGATTATTAATGCAGATATCTTTTCTTCTGTGCATTTGTCACATACCTATATTTAAATCTTCATATATGTTTTCATTATATAAATAATAACATAAATAAATAATAAAATAAAATGTTATAGATAATAGGGATATTGCAACATACAGACTGATTTGTGTGACAGTCCTGACTTGGCTGCCGTTTAGCCTGGTGGTTATCATGAACAAATTAGTTAACCCCTTCAAAACATAAATTTTTTTCATATCTAAAATAAGCATAATATTGCTCAATTTTTAAAATTGTTTTGAAAAATACAATTAAAGCTTATACAACTTCTAGTTTAGTGTCTGCTAAATCTGAATGTTCCCATCCACCTCTAATTCTTTTGATAAAACCATAACATGTTAATGGTGTTAGGAGTTGGGGCCTTTAGGTGACATTTAAGGCTTTAAGGTAGAGTTCACATGAGTGGGATTAGTGAACTTATAAGAGTATTCATAGAAAACCCCTTAGTCTCTCTCATTATGTGTGGCTACATACAGAAGACAATCTCTCACCCTATAGCAAAATTTTCTTTGTCTTGAACTTCCCAGCCTATAAACAATTTTTTTTTTCTTTGAGATGGAGTTTCACTCTTGTTGCCCAGGATGGAGTGCAGTGGAGAGATTTTGGCTCCACCTCCTGGATTAAAGTGATTCTCCTGCCTCAGCCTCCCAAGTAGCTGGGATTACAGGCAGATAATTTTGTATTTTATGAAGAGACAGGGTTTCACCATGTTGGTCAAGGTCTCAAACTCATCACCTCAGTTGATCTACCAGACTTGGCCTCCCAAAGTCCTGAGATTACAGGCGTGAGCCACCGCACCAGTCCAATTTCAGTTTTTATAAGCTACCCTGTTTATGTTTTTTGTTTGTTTGTTTGTTTTACAGAAGTCCAAATTGAATAAGAAAATGTGTTATCAGGATCAGCAGTAAAATGAATTCAATAAACTTTATATTTCTTATATGTGTATGTATGTACTTATATCTGTGAGAGAGAGAGTGTGTGTGTGTGTATATGTTTACATATTACAACTGAAATGGTAAAGTGGGCTTCTGACTTACACTTTTTTAGGATTAAGCAAGGTGAGGGTTTTCATCTTGTACTTGATTATTTAGCGGTACCCCAGAGTCGAGTTTCATCTTTGATATGTAGACAAAATGTGTCGGTCAGTATCCAACTAATTTTTGTCCTTTGGAATTATAAATAAACAAATGTGTACATCAATCTCATTTGTGACAATATCGTGCGTGAAAAATTATCATGAGGTTATATAAGGTAAATCCTATTTAATCAGTGTAACCTCAATAATTAAGAAGATTTTCATTTTGGATTTATACTAAATATCTGAGTATTCATCGTAAAACATATATTAACATTATACATAACAATTTGAAAAATCTCATATTTTTTTTATATTCAACTTCTATAACTAGTTGATATGTGCACATAAATACCTATATACATAGAAAATTGAGTATAGATAAATGTTAATTGTGAAAATTCTTGATTTTATAACCAAACTGATATAGAAATTTCCAATATTTTAATAATAAAGATATTGTAAAATTATTATTAAACAGTGTGCTATTTATATGCCTAAAATAAAAATATCTATGTTTATAAGATTGTTTAACTATGAACATCAAGAAAGAATATCAATTAAAATTTACTATAACTCTAATTTTGTATAGTTGCATGGTATATCAGCATTCATGACTTCAAAGTAACTCAGAAACAATTTTTTAAGTTATGTATTTCCATGTGTCTATAGCTATTTCATGGAAAATTCTATGTGTGAACTCTACAGTTTATAAGAATGTTAATTTCTACACATTCATAATTTTAAAATCTCTAATACCGAAACAGGAAATGCTCCCTATGCCCCTCACAGGGCATGTGATGGGGGTGTGGCTTGCTTTGTTGGTGCCTCTCTGCTCAAACCTCTAGGGGAAGCATGCAGATGGGCAGGTTGTGGGGCTCTGACCCCCTGCTAATGTCTAGGGGTAAATGTATACACCTGAAGCCTCAGTGGGCATGTGTTACAGTGTGCTCTTTTAGTTTAGCTGTCCATAGGCAGTTTGTATTAATCAACTCAGTTAGACTCCCTTCCTTATCACCAGGACAGAGGGCTTTCTGTATCCCAGCTTTTCTTGCCTTCGTGTACTGGAATAATCAGATTGCAAATGGGTTTGGAGAATGAATTCAAGGTTTTATTGAGTGGAAGTAGCTCTTAGCAGATAGGGGAGCAAGAAGGGAGATGGAGTGAAAAGGTGGTTTTCCCCTCTGAAATTGGGTCACTCAGTGGCCATGCTCTCCTCCGACAGCCCTGGCCTAATTCTGCATCATTCTTACCGTTGATGACTTGCTGGCATCTGCTGGCATCTGTGGTGTATATCAGTGTGCTCTTAGGCCAGTGAATTCCCCTCAATGTCCAGTCGCTTGTGTCTTCTTCCACTGGTGTGCTCCTCTTGACATCCAGCCATTTGTGTGCATGCCCACTAGTGTCTCGTAGCAGGCCAGGTGGTCTTGAGAATTGCCACAATTGGGTATGCAAACAGAAATGCCTGTCCTCACCTAGGTCCATGGGCATAGGCCTAGAGGTGGAGCCCTAGCCAGGGACCACACCCTTCCCTTCCCAGAACTCCCCTGCCCCACTCCTGTATCATCCACTCCTGTATCATATCTCCCCTCCGAACAGGTACATCTAGTTGCCATTAGAATATGAACAATGACCAGTCTTAGCTGGCTCCTGAAGACAGGGGGTGTTGTTTTGGGAAAAACAGCAGGCATATTCTTCCCAGAGGTCTATCTAAAGGTTCCAAGCAAAGGGGAGTCATCATCTGAGGCTCCAGTTGCCTGACTGTTTGGAGCTTGATGGCTTCTAGACATGAGAGAATGAAAAAAGTTTTATAAGGTTACATATGCACGGGTTAAACATGTGTATGATACAAGGAAAGAATTTTGTACCAAAAATTACAGTGATAAGCAGCGAACCATACTAACAACAACAACATTGTACCTCAAGTTTTTTCACCCAGGCAGAAGAAATTAAACCTTGTATAGGAGCCAATACAGCTTTAGAAGATAGATAACTGTTCTTGACACATCTTTAGCAGGTGCATGCTGGGAATTCTGGGATTTGTGGGCTTGCTTGGTGGCCATGAAGGCTTTGTCTCTTTCTTGTGCCTCCATTTCTCTATTGTAAAAGACCAAGGTGGCCACTTACAGGAGGCCCTCTAATGTACTATCTGTCCCAAGGCACATTTTTGCAACTTCCTTCTGACATCAGGGGCTACTTGAATAATTTATTCTTTAGAATTAACTGTCCCTTGACTGAGTCAGGAGATAGGGGTGTACTTGATCAAGGCTTCTCTTAGCCTCTCCAGGAAGGCAGTTGATTTTCATCAAATCCCTGGTCGATCATTTACAACTTACTATAATTGAGAGGCTTGGTCTTAGTCCTACGTAAGCCCACCATTATGCACACCTGCAAGTGTCTCCTTTTCCAGTCTCCCATTTCATCACTGGGATCCCGTTTAGGGTCCAAAAATTCTTCACTAATGCTGCTTCTCTTCCATTCGGATAACTTTCACAAAGGCAGCGGAAGTTATCCAATTGGAAGAGAAGCAGTACCAGTGATGCTATATGTGATGCAAAGCTCATTGTCAAATCTCTCTACTGTTTGTAGAGCAGCCTGCTTCTCAATGTTGTCAGGGTCTGATTCAAAAGTAATATAATCTCTCTCCAGGAGAGTTCAAATATCTGGGTGAAATTTTGGAAAGCCTCTATATATCTAGCAGAGTCATCTGAAAACTTACCAAGATCCCCCTCAATTTGCTTTAAGTCCTGTAGGGAGAAGTCTCATTCTTGCCCCTTACTGGGCCCAAATACAATGTGCATTTGTTGAAGGGGCAAGAGTGAGACTGGAGCTTGTTTATAATGAGGGTTTTTAGAAGGATACAAGTGAGAGGCTGAAGCTGGATAGGGAGGTCATATTGGACCTAAAGGATCAGCCCTGGAGGGAGCTGGCTTCTCTACCTGCGTGCCTCTGGAACTTGTATCTTTAATTCCTGGGGTTTGCCTCTTACAGCCTTCCCCGAGACAGCAAACAGGAGAGCTGGATCAATCCTACAAAGTCAGCAAAGATCTGGATTGCCTTGCAACGTATAGAAAGCCTGCACATATGGGGATTCAGACCAACTGTCCTCAATTTTTCCTTTTCTATGGAAAAATTTCAAGGGCTGGATGGCATTAAAATGGTTTCTTCCTGACTCCAAGCCAGTCCTTGCTGTAAATTATAATTTGGCCAAACCTTTGTGAAGAGGGCTATGAGGCATTTTTTTCTCCAGATTCTGAGGGTCAAACCAGTCCCAATGGTTTAGGATACACTCCAGAGGCGTATAAGCTGAGGTGGTGAAGTGAACTGGTTGCCAATTCTGAAAGACAAGA